AAAGTCAAACACCACTGGGCATGGTGGCTCACGCCTGTAATCCCAACACTTTGGGAGACTGAGGCAGGTGGATCACAAGGTCAGGAGATCGTGATCATCCTGGCTAACACAGTAAAACCCCATCTCTACTAAAAACACAAAAAATTAGCTGGGCGTGGTGGCAGGTGCCTGTAGTCCCAGCTACTCAGGAGGCTGAGGCAGGAGAATCTATTGAACCCGGGAGGCAGAGGTTGCAGTGAGCTATCGCTCCTCTGCACTCCAGCCTGGGCGACAGAGTAAGACTCTGTCTCAAAAAAAAAAAAAAAAAAGTCAAAAACCCAAGAAACTTTGTGTGGTAGACTTAATTTGGCACCCCCTAATATTTATGCCTTTGTGTAGTCCCCTTTCTAATCGGGGCTGGCCTTTGATCTTTAACCAACAGAATGTGGCAAAACTGGCAGCTTCCATTTTTGTACTTGGAGGGAAGCCAGCTACCATGTAAATTCAACTACCTGAGACCACTACACTAACCAAAGGAGAAGCCATGCAGAAAAGAATCAAGCAACCAAGCTGACAGCAAGAACTGAGGACCCAAACATATACTTCAAGTTGAGCCATTTGTGTTACCCCAGATCATGCGCACAGCAGAAATGTGCTGCCCCACCAAGTCCTACTCAGACTGCAGAATTGTGAGCAAATAATAAAATGATTGCAGTCATTTTACTGCAGGTGCAGTGGCTCATGCCTGTAATCCCAACACTTTAGGATGCTGAGGCAGGCAGATGGCTTGAGCACAGGAGTTCAAGACCAGCCTGGGCAACATGATAAAACCCTGTCTCTACCGAAAAATAAAAAAATTAGCTGCATACCTACAGTCCCAGCTACTGGGGAGGTTAAGGTGGGAGGATTGCTTGAGGCCGGGAGGCGGAGGTTGCAGTGAGCTGGGATCGCGCCACTGCACTCCAGGCTGGGCGACAGTGTAAGACTCTGTCTTTAAAAAAAAAAAAAAAAAAAGTTGCTGTTTGAAGTCATTGCATTTTATGGTGATTTTTAGCAATAGACAACCAAAATACTTTTCCTTGTCCCCATATCCCCTCTCTCTGTTAAGCTCCATCAATTTTTTTTTTTTTTTTTTTGAGACGGAGTCTCGCTGTGTCACCCAGGCTGGAGTGCAGTGGCCGGATCTCAGCTCACTGCAAGCTCCGCCTCCCGGGCTTACGCCATTCTCCTGCCTCAGCCTCCCGAGTAGCTGGGACTACAGGCGCCTGCCACCTCGCCTGGCTAAGTTTTTGTATTTTTAGTAGAGACGGGGTTTCATTGTGTTAGCCAGGATGGTCTTGATCTCCTGACCTCGTGATCCGCCCGTCTTGGCCTCCCAAAGTGCTGGGATTACAGGCTTGAGCCACCGCGCCCGGCCGGCTCCATCAATTTTACCTCCAGAATATCCTAAGCCTACTCTCATCTCTGACACTGACTCTCAAACTACCATCCACTTTCATTGCAGTAGCCTTCTCAGTTAAAGTTGTCTCTGTGCACTTACACAGCCCCACTCCAGTCTATGTACCTCACTGCAACCAAAGAGATCTTTTCCAAGCATAAATTGGATCACGTCATCCTCTTGCTTAAAATATTTCAGTAGTTTTCTTTTGTCCCTAAAATAAAAATCATCAAAGTCCTTAGCATGGCTTACCTTGCTTAGCAAGGCTCTGCCAAGTTCCTTGTCTCTACCCACTGCCCAAGCCCCCTCTTGCCCTATAATCTTTTTCTTTTATGCTATGCTAGCCTTTAGTTACTATACTCTACAACCCCTTTTGCCCCAGGGACTTTGTGTACACTGTTCCCTCTTTCTGGTATCCCTACCTACTCACCTGCCCCTACCCTCTTGGCTAAGCGCTTCCTAGTTACCTTAATAGGCTTCAGCTCAGACATCAGTTCCTCACAGAAGCTTTCTCTGCCCCACCTGGCTAAGTTTCCCTTTAGATTTAGCTGGTTGTTTGATTATTGTCTGACTTTTCTCACTAGACTAAGTTCCTGACTGGTTTTACCTGAAATGAACCTTGAAGGGGCTGGTGTGCCATCTGTCACAAGGATTTGCTCCTTATAAGTGCAGCCCAAATTCTTTGACACTACTCCCATTGAAAGGTGATGGGGTCAGGGGGTGGAATCTGTGTCCCCTCCTCTGGAATCTGGACTCTGACTCCTTGACCAGTAGAATACAGCAAAAATGACACTATGCCAGGTATCAGGCCGAGGCCTTAAGAAACTGGCATCTTCCATTTTCTGTCACTTTGAATGCTTTCTCTTTAACCCAATTTCCATGCTATCAGAAAGTCCAGGCAGCCTGTGGAGAGGAACCAAGACCCTTGGTCCTCAGCCCTAGCAGAGCTCCCAGCTGACAGCACCAACTTGCCAGTCACGTAAGTGAGCCGTGTTGGAAGTGGAACTTCTAACCCCCCATTGAACCATCCCAGCTCACACTGCATGGAGCAGAGATAAGCTTTCGCCATTGAACCTTGCCAAATTCCAGATTCATGAACAAAATGATTTTTTTCAATGACTTAAAAAAAATTGGGGGGGTGGTTTATTATGCACCAATAGATAACCAGAACATCAGCCAAAATGGCAAGCCTCTGCAGAAAGGCAACCCTTCTCGGGCAGGATCACAGAGCTGTTTGTGATGTCATCCTGAGTCTCACTGAGCCCTGGTTGAGCAGGAGCCCACAGTGCCTTTCAACATATAGAGGAGTCTGTGGCAGTGCCCAACCAGGGTGACCACCCCTCATGTCCATGCTAGGAAGCAGGTGCAGACCTGGATCCAGGGTTCTCTCTTGCTCATCACCTTCCACCCTGAGATGGTTGCTGGAGCCTACTGCTCTCCAGGGTTTTGCCCCAAATATGCAGAGAGCAGCCTGTTCCAGCTGGTGAAGGTGGATGTTGGATACCAAGGGACATCAAGCAGTGCCTCATGAAAGACCCTAGGGAGGGAATGCAGTTCGTGGGGAAGGCTCAGGGATCACTGCCCCAGAGGAATGTGCAGCTTTGTGCAAGGTGATTCAGGTGAACATTCACATTTGGTACACCAAGTTCTGAGAGGCGTCTGTGCTAAGACACACAACCTACACAGTGCCCTCTAGGCACACTCTCCAGTACAGTAGCCAGTAGCCGCACATGGCCATTTATTTATTTATTTATTTATTTATTTATTGAGACGGAGTCTCGTTCTGTCCGCCTGGCTGGAGTGCAATGGCGCGATCTCCGCTCACTGCAAGCTCCGCCTCCCGGGATCGTGCCATTCTCTTGCCTCAGCCTCCTGAGTAGCTGGGACTACGGGCGCCCGTCACCGCGCCCGGCTAATTTTTTTTTTTGTATTTTTAGTAGAGATGGGGTTTCACCGTGTTAGCCAGGATGGTCTCGATCTCCTGACCTTATGATCTGCCCGCCTCAGCCTCCCAAAGTGCTGGGATTACAGGCGTGAGCCACCGCGCCCGTCCCACATGGCCATTTAAACTAAAATTTTTTTAAATGTTAAAGAGCCGTGATTAAGGTGATCTTGAGGAAAAAAAAAAAAATTAAAGCAATATCTCAGCCACATGAGTTACATTTCAACTGCTGAAGAGCCACATGTGGCTAGTGGCTACTGAACTGAATAGTACAGATGTAGAACATTTTCATCACTAGAAGTTTTATTGAACAGTATTGTTCTAGGCCCTTTAAGAGAGGTCAGCCAGGCACAGTGGCTTACGCCTGTAATCCCAGCATTTTGGGAGGCTGAGGTGGGTGGATCACCTGAGGTCAGGAGTTCGAGACCAGCCTGGCCAACATGGTGAAACCCTGTCTCGCTGTCTTACTAAAAAATACAAAAATTAGCCTGGGTATGAAGGGCAGTTGCCTGTAATCCCCAGCTACTGGGGAGGCTGAAGGCAGGAGAATTCACTTGAACAGCAGGGAGGTCAGAGTTGCAGTGAGCCCCAAGATTGTCGCCAGCTTGCAGCTCCAGCCTGGGGGAGCAGAGGCAAGGATTCCATCTCAAAAAAAAAAAAGTAGAGAGAGAGAACATGGTGAAACCGTCTCTACTAAATACGACTCCAAAAAAATTAGGCTGGGCATGGTGGCGGCCACAACCTAAAAGTCCATGCTACTCGGCGGCTGAGGCAGAGAACAAGGCATGAAATCCTGGGCACGGAAGGGCTGCAGTGGACGCAGATCGCACGCAACTGCACTCCAGGGGCCTGGCGTCAGAGCAAGACTCATGCTCAAAAAAAAAAAAA